ATATATATATAATCTTATTTTTATTTCAACTATTTCCTATTACAAAAATTACTCAAGCATCATTGGCGTCAATAATTTTATTACTATTTTTGCTCCTAAATGAATCAGTACTATTTTTCCATTATTTTGCTTTTCAGTACATATCTTTTATTTCAATTACTGTTGTTTTTAAATTATTTTGTTTTACAGAACATTTCAAAAGCATAATTAAAACAGAATTAAGACGTGAATAGCTTTAGAAGGTCGAATTTGATTGAACCGCTCATGCTGTCACATTTATATTGATCTTAGAGTTTGTCTGACATAACGAATAAAAAATCATGGCCGTCTACCACGGAGACATCAAGACCATGAAATAAACTCCTGAGAGATGTAAAGTACCAAACATACATAACTAATATTATCTTTAAAAAAATAAATAAAACAGAATTATATGCTATTGTTGCTTTTTTCCAAACAGTTGAAAAAACTCCATTTTTTAAATGTTTGTAGTGATCGATCCATTTGAAATTTTATGTTCCAATGTAGGCAGTGACTTTTCCTGTGCTTCGAACTATCATAATGCCAAATTTCATCGCTTTCCGTTCGATGGTTTATGAGTCTATGAAGGATAGGAAGACATTTATTTTTAAATGCGTAGATTCGTTCGATTATACGATAAAAAAATAAGAAATTGTATAAATAAATAATCTAAACTAAAGCGATGTAGTTTTATTATCTAAATAAAACTTACGCTTAAAAAACATACAAAAATGAAATAACAGTCAATATGTTTCGATCACGTAAAAAAATAGGCGCCCATTTCTACATCCAAAAAAAAAGGCGACCATTTGGCAGACATGAATGGGACGAAACGAAAATGATTTGAAAAAAATGTGAAGTTGTCAACGTAAAATGAAAAAATAAAGAAAATTTATTATTCCATTTATTACTCCTTTATTTTTCGTTGGCAACTTTACATTTTACTTTTCAAATCCTTTTTGTTTCGTTACATTCGCGGCCATTTCAAACTTGAAAATGGGCGCCTACTTTTGATGTGCTTGAAACATATCCACTGCTATTTCTTTTTTTTTATATATATATTTTTTTGAAGCGAATGAAATTTTCAATCAGGACATCTACGTTAAAAAAAGTTTTCAAAATGTAAGAAATATTTACCTGCGCAAGTTTTAAGAAGCTTTGTCGATTGGATTCCTTTATTTGGTCGTTTCTACTCTGGACAACATTTATCAAAGATTCGTAATTATCTCTCTGTTTAGTAAAGCGACTGAAGAGGTCAGTCTCACCAACTTCCACATCTTCTTCCTATTAATGGTTATGTCCATAGTCAGTAATTACTCGCAATCCCTAATTAGTAGTTTCGTGTAACTGAGATTTTCTGAACACTCAAATCAGAATTAAAATATTACATTCGAAGTTAAGTGGTGACAAATTGCTCCTTATTGTTTCCAGATCCCTTTACAAGCTTTTCGAACTCTTACTAAATCGCAGCACAATACAACGAAAACCTTTATTGTCTACTTGTAAATCAAAACTAAACCCTGGCTGTTTCAAAATGCTTATATAACTCCAAGTTCTTCATTTAGGGTAAGTAAAATGGCCATAGCGAAGAGATGCCCAATTTAATTATCTCCGATATATTGCAACAGATGTAGTTTCACAGGAAGTAGTTCAACTTGTTTATCAATTTAGACAAAACGCTGATTTTCTAGACAGCAAAATGCATGCGTAAAGCAAGCTGCATGCAAATACAGTGGTGTAAGATATCAAGAAAATTTGCAGACTTGGTCGATTATCTCTAGAACTACTGGACCGATTTTAATGAAATTTGATGGGTACATGCATTGATACAATACAAAACAAATAACAAAATTCAACAATTTTAATACACACGCATGATCGTACGTATCACTCGTTGGATTTGGAAGGTATGAAATTGCCACAAGACAATCCAGGCCAATTGCCAGAGAAAACGATGAACTGCCTTATTCCAAGTATGAAATCACACTGCAAGTCTTTTATATCTGGGGAGACCCAGGGAACAGGACCTGGGGAGGCCTGTATATCTGGGAGAATATAAGAGGGGACCATACCACCCATTTACCCTTTTTTTGTTTATTCTGCAACAGCTGTTTCCTACCATTCGACTCCAACGAGTGTTACGCACGATTATGCATGTGTATTAAGATTGTTGAATGGTAATTTGTTTTGTATTGTATCAGTGTATGTACACATCAAACTTCGTTAAAATCGATCCAGTAGTTCTAGAGATAATCGACCATGTCTGCAAATTCTCTTAATTTTTTACACCAGTGCATTTCTCGTGAATTGAGTATTTTGTTGTTTTTCAATACGTTTGTAATATTTTCTTCAACTAGCTGAACTTCTAAGGCTCATACTTTTGTTCTCAAGGTACCATTATTTTTTGCTTGAAATATGTTGAGTACATGGAGGTGAATTTAGAATACGCACGAAAAAATATTTCTCGCATCTCTATTTTTAGTACTTTTATTTCGATTTTAAATAAATAAACGCTATGGGTTTGTGTCCCAGACTTTTCCTGAGAGTAAAACTTTTTCATTCGGTCGATTTAAAATATTAAGATTTCGTTGCTTCAGTCACGAAATATTAATTTAAAATTAAATGAACGATATGCAGTTCCCTTAAAATATAATAGTGATAAGGATAATAACATGTATTAGACATAGTTACAAAAAACTTCGCTTATATGGACTAAAAGTAATTTAATTTCTGAATTTACCTCTGAATAAAATGTGCTTTATGGTATAAACATTAAATATAATGTGTAATCGAAATTACTAACAAGACTTAATTTTGCAATAAGAGAATTAAATGGTAATATTCTAAGTTCAATTTTGGTACGATGAATTTAAACTCGAAATAAATATTTTTTTACAATATAAGTAAATAAAAGTGCTGATTAGTGAGTTGCACAATATACATGCACAATATACATTGCAAAAATACCTGATTTTTTTCTCTCTTTTTTTTGTTCAATATAAAAGGGAAAAAAAATACTTTAACTTGACTTTCTCGGCGTTATTATTTAATCTAAAATATTAATTTTTATTTAGTTTTCTTTTCATTTATTAATAAATTGGGTCGAAATATTAAAATTGAACAAGGTCAAAATATTAAAGTTAGCTTTTAGTACTTCCTGTTCCAACTTTTCACAAAAACTCGCTTTAGAATACCGGTATTTTAATCTCTGGTATCGTAAAACCAAACTTTTTCCGTTCTCTTAAAAATTAAATTTCCTTAATCTAAATAAGATCGACTGAAAGTTAGGTTTAATTCGGTTTAGTAGATTTCTCGTCATAGATTTATAAGCACCATTTACCTATTCTGTTTTTTATTTAATGAATACCTACGTCTTATGTTTACTAACCTTAATTTTTCTATTTTTAAGCACATTTTTATAGTAGAGGCGTAGTATGGCCCATCTCAACGCATACGTTGAAGGCAGATCTGATGTACAAGCAATAAACTCGTTTCGGTATCGTTCCATCAAAAGCTCATCGCGTCGCAGCTAAAAAATAATTTATTATGCTATAATAATAAGTAATTATTATTATTATTATAACAAAACCTTCTGTTATTGAAGCCTAGAACGGAAACATCATGAAGAAAAATTTATAGTATTTTCTAATATCTAGATAGTTAAAATAAATGTAAGACAGTAGAACTCACGTTATTTACTTGAAACCCCTGAGAGTTAAATAAATCATTTTCGTGGTACGTGAGTATGGTGTGTAACTGAAGTACTAGTACTATGCTAGAAAATTATATATGAGTACAATGCTGGTGTAAGATATTCCCATTGACATGAGTATTGACTGAGCCGCTTGAGAATAATATAAGGATATTATGAGTAACCTCATATATATTGGTTAATCCCCATTTCAGCGGTATTAGAAGTAATTGAGTGCTTCTGGTAGGAGGATAATATAAATATGACTGTGATAGTGCTGAAACTGAACCAGTAGTTATGCCATATAATATCCCCAGTGAAGCAACAATTAGAGCCACTGAGGATTAGTTAGAGTGCTTGCCAATAAGAGTGCCAATAAGGTGACATAGGTTCGTTCAGGTCGTATAGAGCTCCCGACTTTCAGCGATCACAGTGTTGGCGTGAAATATTCCAGATGTTATGGGGATTAGAGTCTCCTAAAGTTTAGATATAGTACTTGCGGATATGAAAATGGTAAGATTATTAGTATGAGTTTGTAAATTGTAACCTCAATGCTTCAGTGTTCCTCAGTTGTATAAAGATTAGAGCCCCGTTGCCTTTTCCCTCACCATAAGAGAGATTCGTAAGTGTTCTCCACGTGCAACAAAAATGCGGCTTATTTAACTTAAACAAATTTGGACGGAGTTAATTTTATCTCAAAATATAAATTCAGGAATTCCTTTAGCAAAAATGTAAAATTACAAAGCACAATACTGAACATTTCTTCCCACAAAGGTCATACGAATTAGTTGTTTAATGCCAATCTATGTTATATAAAACGCTAATACGTATGTATCAATAAAACCGATGATATTTCTTTTCTCGCGTTGGCAACAGTTTTCATTTTTGGCTTCATTTAGGCAACAGTTTTCATTTTAGGCTTCGGCGAGCAAGAGCACGTAGTGAGCATCATATGTCTAATCGGGTGAATTCTTACCGAATTATCAAAAACATTCTCACAAAATTATCGTCATCGAAGCCGATGTTTTACATCCGGCGTTCAGTACTATTTCATATTGTTTTACAACACATGGTTTTAGCCCTCTGATGGGAAAGACTCTAAAACAAAACTTACAACAATTACTTTTCTCAACAGCTGAAATTTAGAATAGTGTGATTAAGAAAAATATGTGAACTGTTTGCAATTTCAAATTAATATTGAAATGCACATCTCTATATATAAATGCAGTGAAAAGTTTTCGGAACTTCAGTGTTCAAAAAAGTATACAAAAGCTAGACGTTAAGAACGTATCCAATGAGCGAGCAAAGCGAGCATCGGATTGCGAAGCAATCCGAAATGAACTGCGAAAGCAGTTCCGGGGGTTGGCGAGCGCCAGCGAGCAGGGGGCGAAGCCTCCTAGTTATCAATAAAACAAAATAAGCTATTTGGTTTTGATATATTTCTTATACGCATAGGTAAATGTTAAAATGTTTTAAAAAGATATTAATTTTGAATTTAATAAACTAATACTTCCTATCAATCTAACTTTTGAACTAATACTACAAGCAGACATGAGTAAATCTTTAACAGTTTAAATGTCTCAGTAAAATGTACTTTTGTTTTATATCGAGGGGAAGGTTCACAGTGTAATTTGAATCCAATGGGCAAGAAATAGGGGAAAAAAACTATTTCTAAATTTTGTTCAAACATCATATCTGAAATTTTAACTATACCTGTTGAGTACTGTCATGCACAATTTTCTCAGAAGTCTTTAATTTTTCAACTAAGTGACGCTCTTCATTTTTCACCTTTTTCAATTGCGTAGTTAAACTGTTTAACTTTTCTTCATTCTGTAACACAATTGTTTATCTCAGAATAGGGTAATTCAAGAAGATGAACCTGATTTAATTCATTCATACTTAACGAAGTATAAAATGTATATGAAAAGTCTACATGCCAAATTAATGTGCAAATTTTCAAAGCTTTGTTTAACGCAACTTGGATGGTTATATTTGCTTTAACGCTAGCTTGGTCGGTGGTAGCGTAGGCATCCAAGTGAAAACCGCGTGAGTCAAGTTGAAGATTTTGATTTTCATTTTAATTTTCCCTCAACTCTTTTTTTAATAAGCACGATGCATACTATTTTTAGCACTATATAATATTTAGGCTAATATATAAGTTGCTATTAGCTACGGTTGCTATGGGCCCATGTTTTCACCTGCTATTATTAACCTGTTTAGAATCGGCAAAATGGAGAAAGAAATGATTCTTCAGGCACGATACTTGCTTAAAAATTCCGTTAAGCCAACTTTCGTTTAAAACTTCATGTAAAACCTACACTACAATTAAAATTCTGGCTTCTTACAAAATAGCAATGAATTAACTAGTGGTATCCGTCCATCGAATTCTATCACAGATATAATTCTAGAGGGGGAGTACCGTAGTGTGTCTACTACTACAAAAATACAATTCCAATTTACTAGTATATAAGACAGGTTAACTCGATTCTTCGTCGGGATACCTTTTCCCATACGAAGGTTGACATCGTCAATGTGACTCTCCTCACCACCATGCAGTTTAAAAGAAAATTATTGTGTAGTGAAACGCCCAGATTCAAGAGTTCTGCATGGTGTTCATTGCACCATTTTGGTGTAGAGCAATTACCACTATATTTAGTGCTGAGATGCTTTAAAAATGCTTGCAGTGTAGAGAATTTTACTTGTGAAACTTACCATAAAAAGTTCGTTTTTAACATCATCCAATTCATTTCTTTTCGCTTCAAGCTCACATTCATATTCAGTCAATCGAAGGTTTCCAGAAGCCTTTAAAGATAGCATGTCATTTTGCAAATTTTCATCGCCTCTTTGCTATTGGGAAAATATTCAAATATAAACAAGTGCAAAAAATAACAAAGATACACTCTTAATAGCTAAAAAAAGAACTAAATACGTCTATACATACACAGCGTAATAAATTAAATTTATGTTTGCTTTTAAGTTGTTGTATTTACAAATTCTTTAATGTAGCCTAATGGAATACGGAATCTTTTCTGAATATTTTATTTATTCATTAAAGAAAATTATTCATTCATAAAATTTAATTAACTAATCTTACTTTTCTTGCAAACATAACACAATATTAATTAGCTTCTAAATTCCAAATTATGCACATGTAGATAAAAAAAATGTGCATAATTTCAAAAGATATAAATGCCACTTTCAACGTAAGTAATATTTTTTACTCATACATTATTTTTTTAATAATTTAAGAGTTTTCGGTTGGTTATTCCCTGATTTAATATTTAAAAATTAAAACAATTTCAAAGCAGGGAGTCGTTGACGAGGCACTTGCCTTGTTTTATGCTAAAAGAAATTTAAAATAGTTAGTATGGAAATTCTTCCCTTGTTTTATGTTTGTCATTAACCAGCAGCTTAAAATACTTTTAGAGGAAACTTTTATTTTCTTTTATTCTAACAATTCAGTTTCACAGTTTGTTTGGAGACACTTGTATTGTTCTACAAAGGTGGATCAAATATAAATGAGACTTTTTTAATGGAAGCAGAACGTTTTTATTCTCATTGTCATGGCAACAATAGAACTTCATCTGCAGTTTATATAATTGCTTAACAGTGATTAGTTCTCTGTAAGTTCTTTTTTTTTTTTGTAACTTGAATTATAAGTCAGCGTTGCATTTCTAATAATGTTGCACAACTTATAATAATTACATTTTTAACAAGAGAAAATGCAAAACTTAATTCCATGCTNATCTGAAGGGCAGATTTGTTGGCCACTTTTCCAGGGGCACCATATTAGGTGGACCAACGTTGCTCCCACAGTAAGGGCAGATAGTACAGAGAATGAAAGAGCATCTATGCCTTGTCCGGGATTCGAACCCAGAACCTTTCGGATGCAAGGACAGTTCCCTGACCCTTGCTCTGGCCGGTCGGCTAATTGCATTTTCAAAAACGATGCAAAAAATCGTAGGTCTTATAGTACGTGCTTTTTTCGATTGTTATTAAATAAAACAGAACAGAAGGGATTAAAATCACGATCAAATTTTAATAATTCGTAAAAGTGGCAGTTTGCGAGTTTAAAAGCGTGTCTGATAGATTTTATTTTAAGTAAGCAAACTTTAGGTGTTTAGGTGCCAAAACAAATATTCGAAATGATGTCTTTTTTAGAGAATTTCAAAGCATGTTCATTTTACCACATTTTGGAAGAGAAACTAACATATAACTTTTCCTAACATCAGTACTGCAGATCATGGAAGATATGACTATTGTGAAGTTTGTTTTTATCTCGAAAATCTAGTGCGGCCTATTTACACAGATCACATCTTACAGTGAAGTCCATTCGAAATCATCGGGAATATAAATCTGACTTGGGAGGGGACTTTTCAATGACGTCAAAATGAGCCGTGGTGACTCAGGGAATAGAGTGCTCGTCCCCAGTGAGGTGAACCAGATTCGAATGCTTGCCATATTGGTTGATACGAATTCCGCACCCGGCTCGCACCGACCACAGTGCTGATGTAAAATATCTTCAGTGGTAGACGGATCAAGGGTTAGATTCCCCTTGCCGCCAGTATAACCATGCGTGGTTTTCGTGGTTTTTCTCTCTATGTAACGCAAATGTGGGTTGGTTCCATCCAAAAGTCTTCCTCTCAGGCAAATTTCTTCCAATACTTGATCCAGAAGTTCCCTTGTCTTCTGAATTGTGTCCAAAATTACAAGGCTACGGTGCTGAACATTGGTAGCCGTTAACTCAAAATTGGGTCGGCTGTTCAACGACGGTTATAAAATAAATAAAATTACCTCAAAATATGATATTCTAGAAAAATAACACTTCAACATGAATATTCGATTTTTCTGATTAAATATTATCTTGTTGCCTAGAACAAGAAGAAAAAATCTTTCCCCCTGAATTATCAGAGCAAGAGATCCCCAATACAGACTGAAAAAATATGGAAAACAATCTGCACTATCTCTCAGGTGAAAATAAAACTATTGAAATTTGTATAAATTGTATTGCTGAATTACAGACAGAGAATCTTTCAAGTTCGTGACTTTAAAAAACTCACTCTTAAATGATTAAATTTGCCCTTCACTAGCTATGTTTTACTTTTACACTTCCCGGAATCGTGATTTGAAACTTAAAACTCACATATTCGTTTATGACGCACTCCAATCTTGAAATATCATCACAGATTTGATTCATCCGAAATTTAATATCTTCTATTTTACGTAGCAATATAGTGTAATCATCAGTTTTTCTTCCAATTTCCTTATCTAAGTCCATTCCCAGGTTCTTTTCTTGAGTTAACTGAAAGAAATCAATTTAATTTTTTATGAAATAGTTTTAATTAAAAAAAATAAACACATTTAATTTTTCAACTCACCTAGAAGATTTGTCACAAAACATAGCAAAAATGGCGAAAAAATGGCATATCTTAAACAATGCTCTAAAATGCCAGGAAATGCCCAAAAATTTTAAAAAATGGCTAAAAAATCTAAAAATAAATCCTTTAACCTCTTCCTCCTCGCTCTCGTGAAAATGACGGGGAGAGGTTTCGCCCTCTATTTCTCACTTCCGTGATATTGACGGGCTGAAGTGTTCAGTAGTAACTCGCCAACACGAATAAAACTAATTCATTTCTTTTGCCCGGAAAAAATTTTATTTCTTATTTTACACACCAGATGGCAGTACCAGGATATCTTTAAGGTAATTGTAGAGTGTTAATTTATTTTAAACTAGTTGCAGCACTAATCAACGAATAAAACTAATTTACTTCTTTTGCCCGGAAAATATTTTATTTCTCATTTTTCACACCAGATGGCAGTACCAGGATATCTTTAAGGTAATTGTAGATAGTTAGTTTATTTTTAACTAGTTGCAGCACTAATCAAATACGCAATACAAATACAAAAGTCGAAAAAATAGGCACTTTTATGACCGTTTTCTTGAAAATTAACGGATCGTTAATGGGTTAAAGAGAAAAATGTTATAGAATTTCATCAAAATTCGGGGTTTACTCTATCAGTTTCGTACTAAACTTTTATTGCCATCAAAAATCCCCATGACTTTTGAAAGTGATGCAACTTACGATTTTCATTAAAAATCAAACAAAAATAAAATTTACCTACCTAACTTAAAAATTGAAGAGAAATGGAGGAATTGAAATTCACCTGTCTTCGCATATTTTCCATTTCCAGCTCGAGTTGTTTTTGTTGCTTTCGAAGATCCTTTTTCAGCAATCTCTCAGACGGTGATCCAACAAAAACGTTCCATTTTTCCATTGTCCATTCAGTAAGAAACTTTTCCCGTTCTTCCTCTATTTCATTTTGCAATTTTTTCTCCTAATTTCGCAATTCAAAATAAATTAAATTTGGTGCTAAAATACTAGTCTGATTATTTATAGAAAATTTTGGTAAAAATAGCTGTTATAAGTTAGTCTAGTTGGCACACTGCCCTAACCATTGGAATAACTTAAGAATAACTACTGAAAGCAAAATTTCTAATCTATGCTTCAGAAAGATCTTCCAAAAAAATACATTATAATTTCAATATATAATAAAAATTACTTCTGTAGTGTTTGTTTTTTTGGAAGCATATTGAGACACTTTTGGAGTGCTATCTTTAAAAAATATCTCAAATATGTATCCGAAAAGTTTCTGATTGTTCATCTCAAAATTGTATCTCTTTATTGATGTATCATAAGCATGTTTCCATCTGTGTATCCCACAAATATTTTCAATTAAATATTTCTAATTTGTTTCCAACGGTGTATCTCAAACATTTTTTTCCACTGATGAATCCCAAAAGTATTTCCAATGAAATATTTCTAATTTATTTCTTACGGTGTATCTCAAACATTTTTTTCCACCGATGAATCCCAAAAATATTTTCAATGAGGTGCTTCTATTTCCAATGGTGTATCTCAAACATGTTTCCCCTCATACATTCTAAAGAAATACTGAAATTTTTGTCATTGTGTCTGCAAGTTATTTAGAAGAGTGCCATTGTGTTCCGTAAATACTGATGCCCGGTGGAAGTATAACAAAACGAATACATCAATAATCCTTTTAAAAATTTGTAAGATTTTGTCAAATGGGACGTAGATAATTATCATTATTCGAGATCCCGCAATGAGATATGGCTACTAGTAGATCACTGGAGTCTAGCATCACTGAAAGTGGTCACTAAACCAGTTAATAACATTTCATTTCAACCTGCGAAGGGACCGTGAGTGCGCGGTATCAATCCTCGATAAACTGTTCTACTGTAACGCANGTTCAAACAAAATTACTTTGTTACAATATAATATTCTAATACCAAAAAAAGTACTTACGAGGCGTGAAAATATCTTTCGTGACGTAACTCTTTCAAAAGTACATGAAAATGGTTGTCAGCAGGGGTGTACATGTAGATTTATTAAATGCACCTTGTGCGCCACCTAGGGACCAAATCTAGAACACGACACTCGAAATTTTTGCTCTGTTAAAATCGTACCCTGTTACAATTGACCCCACTTTCCCCTACTGAAAGCAAAATTTCTAATCTATGCTTCAGAAAGATCTTCCAAAAAAATACATTATAATTTCAATATATAATAAAAACTACTTCTGTAGTGTTTGTTTTTTTGGAAACATATTGAGACACTTTTGTAGTGCTATCTTTAAAAACCATCTCAAATATGTATCCGAAAACATGTTTCTGATTATTCATCTCAAAATTGCATCTCTTTATTGATGTATTTTAAACATGTTTCCATCTGTGTATCCCAAAAATATTTTCAGTGAAATATTTCTAATTTATTTCCAATGGTGTATCTCAAACATTTTTTTCCACCGATGAATCCCAAAAATATTATTAATGAGATACTTCTATTTCCAATGGTGTATCTCAAACATGTTTCCTCTCATACATTCTAAAGAAATATTGAAATTTTCGTCATTGTGTCAGCAAGTTATTTAGAAAAGTGCCTTTGTGTTCCGTAAATACTGATACCCGGTGGAAGTATAAAAGAACGAATACATCAACAATCCTTTTAAAAATTCGTAAGATTTTGTCAAAGGGGACGTAGATAATTATCATTATTCGAGATCCCGCAATGAGATGAAAATATTTTCCCCGACCTGCCCCAATTCAGGGCATACGGGTAAATGTTTATTAAAAACCAAGTAAAAAACATTAAAGAACATAAAATACAAAAAGTGCATAAAATACATAAAATACAAAAATCATATGGCAACAGCCCGTAAACTTTGTGGGCGAGCAATACTTTTGAACAAAATTAGCTATCTACAATTAGTCAGAATATTAAATCTTAAAGAAAACTTGACAAATATATCTGGCATGTATGTCATGAAAAGTCCAGGTCAACAGACCCTAAAATATGGATTTAAAGCACAATTAAATTTAAAACACCTGCAATATTAGAAGCAAAATAAAATATAAATTGCCATTCCAGGTCAACAGACCCTTATATTGAGGCAATCAAATGGCATAAAATTTAAAAACTAATCATAGGGCAAATTGCCTATTAAGGAAACAATTAAACTAGTTACAAATAGTAAAATCAATAAATAGTGCTGAAATAGTAAAAGTGGATTAAAATGGTGTGAATGACGAGGACAGTTCAAATCCAACCTAAGAACACCATGAGATTTAAAATTTTTAAAGTCACTAAAAGTTCAGTTCAAGGGATAGTCATCCTGGCTAAAAATCAAAATCGCCGAACCAGACTCTCCGGTGATGAGGTAATTAAAGCGAGAAAATTAGAATTGCCTCTGGAGAAATGGAAACGCTGATCCATACGGCAGTTGGACGGCCAGAGTTAGTAAAAATTTACAGTGGGTTTAGTGCATCTTCCAAAGTTGTTTTGATAATGTCTATCCCGCAATGAGATATGGCTCCTGATAGATCACTGGAGTCTAGCATCACTGAAAATGGTCACTAAACCAGTTAATAACATTTTATTTCAACCTGCGAAGGGACCGTGAGGGCATGGTATCAATCCTCGATAAACTGTTCTACTGTAAAGCACGCGACTTCGTCGGGCTTCTAAAGACGGGTAGCCATACCCATTGCAGAGGATCAAAATTGTAATTGCATCCTCCGTTATGTTTCCAAACCATTAATAGCCCATTTTACAGCTCTAGTACAGAGTAAATAAAGTACTACAACTACATTTAATATTTGAGATATTTATCTACTTTTTTGCTTCTTTTGGTAAAGGACGTTTAAAATATATATTAAAGGTGATCATTGCGATAAATACTGTGTTCTGTAAAAATTAAGCCTATTGAAAATATTACTTAAAAATAATTTATAAGGGAATAAACTAAAAAAGAAAGGTTTAATAAAGTTAATTTTTCTGATCCCCAATGAAGCAGATTTTTTTAAATACTGAAACGAAATATATTGGAGGTTCCATCAAAATTTCAATACATAACTGACTCCCCCATATACTTTTCTGAAGTTCGGAAGAAGCACCAAATTTCAATAATTATCCAGAAGTCCCGACATAAAATATGCAGCTCTTTGAAGTAAGCTATAAAGCTATTGAAAAAAAGTTTGAAAACTTCAATACACACTTACGTTTTGAATAGCAGATTTGATATGAAGTAAGCGTTCTTTGTAACTTTGATAGCGATCTCTAAATCTTGCAGTTGAATCTTTGATATCCTTCTCCTTTTCGGCAATCAAGTGTTTGTAATGTTCCTCCGTGCGTTCTCTTTCATCTGAAGTTCTCTGATAGAAATCTTTCGCTTCAGAGATTTTCTTTAGAAAATGATCTTCTGAAAATATGTAATTAGATACACGTGGTGTTAACTTTGAATATTCTAAAATTAATTTGAACTGATGCAAAATTCTAAAGAGCATCTACGCTAAAAAATAAATGTATAAGGTGAGATTCTTACCAATTGTTCCAAAAACGGCATTTAGTTTTAAAAAACTTAACTTAAAGAACACTGAGAGATGCAAATATGTACATTTTGCTGCATTCTGCCTAGGAGATTAAATGTTATTCTCACTTACTTTCGTTTCGAGATTAGTTGTACATTTCGCCAGCGCATGGACAAAAAAAATTCTTCTAAGACTTGCATACTGTTGGGCAACTACATTTCTTGTAGAAAATAAATCCTAATTCTTGTTAATAGAACCAAATTAAACGATATTTGAACCATTAATTTTGTAATTTTTAAGCTCATACGGTAACGGTTTAACGGAAATTCTTGTTTTCAAAATTATAGTTCTCATTACTACACATTTAGTAAAAAATACTAAACTAGAAAATAAATTTTATCGATTAAGTGATGCTATGCTCTAAGACATCGATATAAAATAATCAAAATTAACCACATTTACCAAATCATTTACAAATTATTATGAAATATGGTTTCACTATGAAGCCATATTTCATTGCTTATTTTACCAAAATCATTACCAAAGCGCCTTAGTAAAAATTACCAAACTCTTTGGTGTTCCCATAAAGTCAAAACCACCATATTCTGAATTTACCATATTCTGGTAGTTTTTACCATAATTTTTCTCGTCACAATTGACATTCCTAGCTGGACAAATATGAAGCAATGTCTTTTGCCGTATATTAGATCCAAGTTGATAACAGCTGAAATGGGTCAACTTGTATACATTGCACTTAAATCCTTTTTTTTTCATTTAAATTGTTAGAGAGTACTTAAAACAAATGCTTTGTTTGTTTTAAGTACTTTCTAACAATTTAAGATATAGTAACATTGGTACATTCATTGGTGTAAACTGTTGCAATAGAATAACAATACAAAACCGAGCAAGACCACTTTTAACTGAAATCTGAATTGCATATATGCTAACAACCATAATTTAACGAATAAATTAGGACACGAAATTTCCTTTTGCGATACTTGAATAGTCAATTCGTGAAAACAAAAAGTATGAGATTAATTTTTTTTATTTTTTTAGTGATATGACAACAGGCTTAAACCCTATTTGTGCAAAAAATTTCCTACAAATCGAAGTGTCGCAAAAAGGTAGGAAATATGGTTAGGGTCACAGTTAACGTATCAAAATAACAAAAACTACTCAAAATCTCTCTAATGTTTTCAAAGCTACTCGAAAACGTTGCAACGCATCTAAGGAATTATTTGTTAGTTCACCTTTGATTTTTGTCGTTACCGTACCGCAAAATATATATAGAAGTAAGTCCATGACCTAAAACGAATATGTCTTTAGGCAGAAAAGAAAAATTCAAATGAAAAAATTGTTTTTGGTAAAAATACTTCTTTACTTTTAAAAGATAGTTTAAACAATTGTGAAAAGCTTTTTATTTTTATAAAATTACTTTTCTTTTGAAAAAATACTTCATTTGTTTTTTTAAAATGCTTCCAAACTTTTTAAAAAACACTTCATTTCTTTCCTAAAAATGCTCTTTTTTTACTTTTGTAAAAATAATATTTTATTTTTTAAGGAAATTATTCACTACTTTCATTTAAAAAAAAATCTTTTTTTTCACTTTTGTAAACTTAATTACTTTGCTTATTTTTTAACAAATTGGAGTACTTACTTGTTAATATATGAGCAAGTTGGAGACTATCTTATATATATTATGTACGCTGAAGTTCAATTAAGTAACTAAGCCACCCTGTAACTTTATTTAACTTTATAGTATTAACTTTTTTAATTTCCTTTAAATAACTTACAGTTATTCCACAGTACTTATGTTGACATTACACTATTTCAAACTGGTGTAAAAAAGCCCAAATAAACTTTTAAAAGTTTCTTACACACCTTTTTCTTCTATTTCTCTTTTGACTGCATTGATTTTCTCTTGAAGAGTAGACTCTTGTAGTAATTGAATACTTTTTAATTCCTCTAGAAGATTCTGAAAATTTTAAACAATGTAAACAATTTTCACAGATTGTTGTATTTATATAATTTTCAAATTACTTTTGATTTCTCATATAGTTATCAAAGCTTCACTACTTTTCAAGAATTATTATTTAAAATTTTAAAAAACAAAAAATATATTGTTCCAGTTTTACCCTTAGTATAGACTTTCAAATGAAAGAGTGATCAGTAATTGATAAATTCTTTTAAAACATTGTTTCACTCATTGTTCACACATTCTTAACTCATAGGTGCAAAGTTTAAAATTTTAAAAAAAATACTATTACAATTAGGCCATTAACGAAACAGTAGAGACACTAACTTTCAAAGAACGTTTGATATAAATAAGCTTAAAAATTTGTCTCACACGTAAAAAAGATTAACCGTTTAACATTAAAAAGAATACGAATGTAAGTGAAATAGAAATACAACAGGGAACTAGCTCATTAAATTAGAGATGAATGATATTTAAATTGTCTCATAGATGAAATGATTTAGTGTTAGAAATTTAAGAGAATATGAGTATTACTAAGAGTATGCGCACAGCATTGCACTGCTAGAAACCTTTCGGAAAAAATGAATTAATAACAATTTATTTAATAGTTATTTTACCATATTATACCAAACCAGGCAAATAACCATGTAACACGGAAATATTTAAACTGATAACTTAAAGAATAATTGCTTATTGACTGTTTCCACCTAAGGCCGTTAAATAACCAGATTTATATCGGCATCAACTACCCTACAAAAATTATGAATAGAAATCAATAAAAAGATTTGTTGATATCAATAGAATCTTATTGGTCTGTACTTGTTTCTATTCACATTTCGACTGATGCAAACTGACATCAGTAATGTACTGGTATCAATAGGTATTGGTCAGTAGGGTATTCTATTGGTCTGCACTATTTCCATTTGTACTTCAACTGATATTCTTGTGTCAATAGATATTAGTCAGTAGGTATTCTATTCATTTGTACTTGCTTCCATTCAACTTATATCAACTGGCATCAGTAGTGTATTTGTATTAATAGAGACTGATCAACAGGTATTCCTTTGGTTTGTACTTGTTTTTATCGATACATACTCTAATCTCAGCAGAATCTTACTGACACCGGTAAAACGTACTTGCTTCAATAAATATTGATCAATAACACCTATTGAGCAATATTTATTGAAACAAGTATGTTTTACTTGTGTCAGTAAAATTCCGCTGACATATATGTTTGATATTTGTTCGTAGACCCAGTAACCAATGCGAATCAAACGAACTTGCAAGCTGGAAGCTAAGAAATATGATAAGGATTGTGAATTTATACTGTTATTTTCCATCATCGTAAACCTAATACAACAGCGGATGCTTAATAATCTTATAATAATAAGTGTGCAGTAAACAAATTGTGTAGCCACTTTGTTCCTTGCAGCTGGGTACATACTTTAATCGAGAGGTTCAATCTGCCAATCTCATGACCAGCTAAACAAGGTGTTTTTACGATTTTAATACCATGCTATATGTAAATGGTTACAAAACGATTTATTTTTGTATTCAAGGTTTTTTAAAACAAAGCAGCTGTAAACTGTTTCAATAGTTTGAAAGCCGTAAATATTTTAAAGGTGAAGAAATGTTTTTTGACAATAAATTTTACGGCTAATTGGATAGACAGACTGCTGTCGAATATTTTAACGTTATTAATGAAAATTCTAACAGTGTGGTTTAGCCCATTTTTAAATAAATAAAAGATCAATAAATTTAAAATTTGTTTAAATTTGTTTCGCACTACTGTTTGACGTTTAATACTAAGGAAAATTCGAATATAATTAAGAGCATAAGTGCAAAATTCGTATTATTTACTTTTAACCAAATTAGAAATAAAGAAGTTACAAAATCTCTTTAAATTTTCATTATACTTTTGAAGGGTTTACAGTTTAAGGATATATGAGTAGGAGCACAAAAGTAAAATAACAAGCTTACATATGAATTGAAAAGCATTAAATTACGAAAACAAATTTGTCTCCCACTTTAGAAAGTTGAGTCTTTAAAATTTGCGAAAACATGTATGTAACTGAGGACATGAATTCAACTTAAAAATTGTTTCTCACGTGTAATCAACATAAAAATTACTAGGCGACTCTCATAATGCTCTTGTTTACATTGTGTATACGAAGAAATAAGGAATGTCTGATAATTTAATTGTAAAGCAATCAGTATCTTAAATTTTCAACGAAGTAAAATATACCTCAGAACAAGAAATTAATGCTACATGTGTTTCCTAGTTGCAAAGAAATTAAGTATTCCTAGTGAGAAAAAAGTAAAGCAATTTGTATTTCATGTTAGAAAAGAAATAAAGAATGACTGATAACAAAACATGAAAGCTACTTGTATTTCTTATTTACAAAAAAATAAAGTATGCCTTATAATCAAAAATTAAGGCTATTTGCATTTCATACTTTTAAGAAAATAAAGTACGCATGATAACAAAAAAATATATATCCTACTTGCAAAGAATTAAAGCATGCCTGATTATCAAAAACGAAAGCAATTTGAATTTCATTTTTATCAAGAAATAACGAATGTCTGATAATCAAAGTACTTGTGTTAACTATTTATAAATAAATAAAATAAGCCTAATAATTAAAATTGTGAAGATATTTTATACATTATTTCTATAAAGTAATAAAGTGTACTTCAAAATAAGGATATAAAGCTAAACTATGTAGAAAATATCGCTAAGTGTTTAGATGTATAATATTTTAGGGAAAGTCTTTTTACTCTTTCTAACCTTATAATAAGAAATCAATATTGAAACTTGCAAAAATTTTATTAAATGCATAAAATGAACTACGGAAAAAATTCCTGATAAAATTACAGTCAAAAGTACTGACCTCCTGAATTCCGGTACATTTTACAGTAAAATCCATTTTTACCGAAAAAATATTACACCGTTAAATTTCATACCATTGTTCTTAGAGAAATATTTATTTATTACAGTAATACAGCAAATATTACTGTAAAAATTAAGATATATCTAGAATTTTTTCCGTAAAATTTTACGTTAAAAGGTACTGGCACTCTTACCTACTTTCTACTATAATTTAATCTAGGTTTTCTTTACAGTGTAACTTGAAAATTTTTTTCTATTAAAACATAAAATACTTTTCGCTACATCTCTAATGCTATGTTAATTAATAAAATTTAATGATTTTTTTTCTTCTAAATTTTTATTCGGGAACAACTTAAGGAACAAACATGTTGAAATATATTAAATAAGTGTCTTAAAGAGCAATGTTTAAGACAAACAAACAAATTTTTGAAACTTACATTAATAGTGTTTTTAAGTGACTCTTGAATATTTTTATGATTTTCAGCAACATGTTGCAGACTGGATTCATATGAATTCTCTTGTTCAATTAGTCGTTGCTCAGTAACTTCAGTTCGGGTGTTTAGTCTTGTTTCCAACTCAGAAATTTGTGTTACCTAAGATTTTGTAAATACTTATCATGCTAGAGATAATATTCTATATAGATTACAGATAATTTACTGCAACAGTTTATATTCATCTTAGATAGATAACACAGCTTTACGTATGGTAGTGGCTGAAGTCGAATTCTTGGCCAGAGATGGCGCCACTGGACAACAAGAACATTCGCACCCCCAATGCCTTAATGGTCTACGACAACAACAACAAGAACTCAGTTTTACGTATCGTCCTGAAAACTCCTGTAGGAAGGTTATATAGTAGCTGCGCATGCTCCTTTAATATTTGAATTATATTTTCAACTGCCTCGCTGTGAAATTTTTCTCATCAAAATAAATTTAAAAATGTAGTATTTTTATTACATTTTTTAAATCTACATATATTTTAGAGATAAAATACACAAAAGTTTTTTGATAAAGAGGTTTTTCCTCAGAATGGAATTACATCATAAAAAAAGCTGTCGAAGAATAATCAAATAAGAGCGAAATTTGAAAATAAATCTTTAATAAAGTATGACGTTTTTTATAAAACGCATAGGTAAAATGTTTATACTCATGAAAATATGTAAAATAATTGGAAAGCATTTATTAGAAATGAAGTATAATATAAACTTAGAAACAATTATCTTCAATATACTAAAAATAAGAGTCAGAACTGCTCAGTGTAAAAATATTGAAATCTTGGAATACTTAGCGAGAGTGATAGCAGTGTGCACTTGTTCGACACCTGAGCAAGTGTACTTCAGGTGTGCACACACATTTGCTTCCGAACTTAGCGTACGGGAGCATGCATGATAATACATAAAATTGGAACATTACGCTAAGCTTAATGTTTGAAGAAAAACCCAACATTGAGACGTCATTCTTAGATATTTTCCCCTACTCTCTAAAAATACACAGGTTGTCCAAAGTAACTAAATAGGACTAAAATTTTATTAAACTTTATGCACAAAATAATAAGCCATTGTTAATCCCATCCCTCCTTTAATGTTGAGAATGATTAGTAAAATTTTGCAAATGATTCTAATTTTTTTTTTACATAAAAATTCATTTGTGATTCCTAATAAGAAGGTATTAATGATTTCATATTTAACAAGGATTATAAAAATGCATTATGTTTAGAGCGATTTTAAACATTATTATCTTTCACTGCATCATTATATTTTTTATTGAAATGGCTTAATTTGTCCAGCGTTTTTTTCAAGAAAGTATTACTTTTTTTAACTCCTTTGGTTCTCAAAGAATGAAAATGTAACTATTTATGAATGATGTATTGTAATTTCACAAGTGTGTGAAATGAATAATACTCATTACTTAAAATAAATATATATAAGAGAATTCTTGTTATTAAATGAAAATTTTAAAAACATGTATATTACATTCACATTTAAACACAAACAAAAACTGTTTTAAAAAAATCAAAGAACTCGAATTTGATGATTTCTGAACCACCTTTCTCAAAAGTAATTCGTCAGATTTCTATATCCTTTTTATTTTACTATTATCGTTTTTATTTTTTATCTCTAGCTTAAATAATAATTTATCTGTCCCTAATGTGCATACTTTATTGCATATTAAGAGCGATGAATATGGAACATAACTATTTTCCAGCAGAATGCGTGGAGAACATTATAAACGCCATAAAAATTGCCTTTATTGTATTCGTATAAATCCAATTTAATTTTTTTTCCACACAGCTACTATTGGATTTAAATATGTCTATGAGAAGCTTGTTTCTGATTATCTAGAATTCTTTAAAATCTAACCAGAAATAGTGTATTAATTAAATAATCCCAGGAAAAAGCTTCATGCTATTACTTGATTAATAATTTCATTCACTTCAAAAATATACAAATTAAAAACAACAGTCGACATATTTCAATCACTCGAAAACAGGCTCCCATTTTCAAGACTTGCCAGTCGTGAATCAAAAGATACGAAAGTTATTTCAAACACAAAGAATAAAATTTCGAACGACAAATGGAAAAATAAAGGTAAGAAAGAGAATAAGAAATTTTGACAATACCAAAATTATTTTTACCCCAGTCACGTCAGCTCATCTTGATGATCTGGAATATTGTTTTATTCATATGAATGTTGCTTTCCTAGTTAACTACACTAGCAAGGTCTATTATTTGGAAATGCATTTTCCCCTGATTTGCCTCTCTCGATCATTGTGGTTTTTCTTGTTCTTTTTTATGCTCCATCTTTTTTTCTCTTCTTCTGGTTTTGTTTCTAACCTTTATTTTTCCATTTTTCGTTTACAACTTTACGTTTTACATTTGAAATCACTTCAGTTTCTTCTCATTCACGTCTGGCAAGTCTTGAAAAAGGGTGCCTGTTTTGAAGCATTTAAGACATGTCGATTGATGTATATTTTTGAATTATTAGTCTATATTTAAAAACTCGTTTCTAGAATTTCCTTTAGATAGCTCTTCAATCTTAGACATTATTTTAAGCTTAAAACATAGTATATTTTTGCATCAAGTCAAATAATTCAAACAGGTTAGGAAAAAGTTTTAAAAAACAACACATTACCAGTTTCTTATGCTCATCCACTCGTACTAAAATTGTATCATCTTGCACAGATCCAGAAATATTTTCATTATCAGCATCTGTCCAAAAACTTATGGTTCCATCAATCCCAACTGCTACAAAAACATCTATATCGTGATGGGCAGATATCTGTGGTGAGAATATAATACTAAGTTCCAAATTAATAGTATGAAAAATATACAATATAAATATAATGCAAAGAAACATGAATTATAATAATAATTAAAACTAGTTATTCAAAAGGATAGGCCCAATTTTATTAATTGATGGGGGAAATTCATTATATTAGGTAGTATCTTTCGAT